TTCGTTCATGGATCATGTCTTTGGTGTTGTATCTAAAGAATTATTGCCGGGCCGGCCCGGTGGCGCACTGCTACAGTGCACCGCTTGGGAGAGCGGCAGCGCTCCCGCCGAGGGTTCGGATCCCACATACAGACCGGCTGCTCACTGGCTGAGCGAGGTGCGGGTGCGACACCGAGGGTGGTGATCCCATTGCCGGTCACGATAAAAGACAAAAAGGAAAAAAAAAAAAAGAATTATTGCCATATCCAAGGTCGTCTAGGTTTTCTCCTATGCAATTTTTTAGGAGCTTTATAATTTTGTGTTTTGAATTTAGGTTTGTGGTCCATTTTGAGTTATTTTTTGTGAAGGGTGCAAGGTTTCCATTTAGATTCACTTTTTTTTTTTTTTTTTTTTTTTTTTGCATGTGGATGTCCAGTTGTTCCACAGCATTTGTTTTAAAGACTATCATTGCTTTTAAAGACTATCATTGCTCCATTGCATTGTCTTTTCTTCTTTGTCAAATATTAGTTGATAACATATGGGTCAATTTCTAACTCTCTATTCTGTTCCATTGTTCTATTTGTCTGTTCTTCCACCAATTCCACACTATCTTGATTACTGTGGTTTGGCAGTAAGTCTTGAAGTCAGATGATGTCAGTTTCCCCACCTTCAGAGGTCTCTGCAAGTTGCCACTTACTTAGGCAAACACCCGGCCAGAATCAGCCTTTCAGTTTGGCAGGCTCCCAAGCTTTGTCTCCTTGATGGTGACCTAGAGTCATTTGAATTTGGGATATTTGTACTTATTAAAAAGCATTCCAAAGCTGACATATAAAACTAGAGTGCAAATTTATTAATTCAGAATATAAAATATTACTGTCAGGTACCTTCTCTCCTTGTGGCAAGCTCTGTTGTTATGAGTTTTTTATTTTTTTTGGTGAACTTAGAATCAGAGTTGGGTGTTTTGATTATGTGACTGGAGTGTACACTGGCATCAGGCTATGGTAGCAAGTGGTGTCCATTACTTCAAGAGGGAAGTATTCTGCCCAGAGGACGGAGACTTCTAAAATGCCAGCACAGATGTCCTTCTCTAGAAATGCTTAAAAGACCAGACAATATTTGCTTCTATGGCTGTAAATGCAGCTCTTTTTTTTGTTGTTGTTATTTTATTTTTAGTGCTTTTGAGGCTAACCACTGACTCCTGCTGACCAATGCATACTTGATTTCAGATATGCTATTGTGGTCAATCAATTTCAGTCAAGTCTTGGAGGCTAGGGAGCCATTCTGTCTCTTTCTAAAATGAAATTGCCTAACCCTGTTTAGCTCCATTATGTGTAGGCTTAAAAATTTAACCCTACTCTAAATTCATGGGGAATGAATTAGCTCCAGAAGAAAAAAGGAGTATTAGAAGGGCACTTGACTGTAGAGGGCTAAAAAAGCACTCAGTTTGCTAAAGTGACTCTCACCCTAGGCTGGGTAGCAGAATCCTTGCAAAGTTTAAAAAATATAACTATACAAATGTGTGTGTGTGTGTGTGTGTGTGTGCATGTGATTGTGTGTATTTTTTCTAGGCCCCAACCTTAAACTTACTTTTGGAATACTTTTTGAAGTTTTGCTCTTCATCATGTCATCTTTTCTTCCAAAATTTGTGTCATCTACAAATATAATAAGCCTGCTGTCTTTGACTCCAAATTAATTGATAAAAAATATAGACCTGTGGTTTGCCAAATATAAGCTTCTCTTTCTAGGTTCACTATTCATGATTCTTCACTCGGTCACTTCATGACTTCATTCAATCCACGTTTAACCACCATATCTACAGAACAGAGAAGAGCATAAGTATTAGGTTCTGCTTGGGGCAACATTTATTTCTTTTTCTTTCCTTCTTTTACTCAGTTTACTTTCTTTGCCTCCAACTCTATTTTCTTCATTCCTGTCCTAGTCTTACATATGTTCCCTTTTCTTGTGTGTTCATTTTGCTATGGAGAAAAGAACCTCCCTGGTGTTTTGGGGGGATTCCCATGCTGGCTGCCTTCATGCAGCCCTGGCCGAGTCTGCACTTGCCCCAGGTGGCTCTTCGTCATGTGTCAAGCTGCAGCCCCTGTGCAGGGAAGGATTTTCCTCATGCCCATTAGCATTTGGCAGAGGAGGAGTCTCTGAGAATTTCATCAACATCCTCAGGCTAATTTATTTTCCTCCACCTCCAAAATTACTTACTCAAACATCAAATGAGGGCTTAAAGAATATTGAAACACAAAGTATGTGTGTGTTTGGGAATGGGAGAGGAGGAGAAAGAAATTATTAGATTGTCCTCAGCAGACTTCACACTTAATCGAAGCATTATTGTACCTATAACAAAATGAATATTGCTAGTAGGATAAGAGAAAGATTGCCCTAATGTCTATTTCAAAACACAAAGTAACCAATCAGCCACTATTCAATTGAAAGATGGCATTAGTGTAAACTGCTTTGGGAACCAAAGAATTTGTGGTAGATGTTCTGCAGAACACCTCTGTGATAACATGCCGCCAGCTTCCACCTCTTCAAAACTTTTCACTTGGAAATAGTTAATGTCACAATTGAGTAAGGCTAAGAAAGTGAACCTTCCAGGGCTTGCCCAAAGGAGTGATTTTATTTTTTTTAAAAAACCATGACTTTTGCATATAATTCTGTGACCATTATTATTACAAAATATTTTTAATGTGGATCAGGGTAAGCAAGTAGACTTATATTCAAGTGTGGGAAGTGGTTGATTAAGGATTTAATAAGTTGGATATTTTGACTTTTTTTTTGTATTTCCTACCTTCATACAGACAAATCAATGTCAGCATTAGGTAATTAAGCATCATTTAAAGAAAGTTTTCTCAAACATAACTTTGTGACTCTGTAGTGGTTTTGTGGGTGAAAGGAATGAGTTCTGGAGTCAATAGATTCTTTGTAAACCTCAAGAGGTACCATCACTCTTAGCTCAGGAAAGAGTGGCAGGTGGCTGAATGACTACTGTGCTTTAATATTTCAGAGAGAACCCCAAGATCCTCTGAACCAGGCTAATTCATATTTTAAGCCTATGACAAATCCTAAGAATGACAGGAAAGTTTGGGTCAGCATTCAAAAAGCCAAAGGTGAAATGAGTTGTGGGGTCTCTTGATAATGCAACTTTATGACTCATTTATTCATTCGTTATCTATTGAAGGACTTACAATGTGTCAGAACTTCTCTTTAGCACCACACTACCCTTATAAGCTTGAACAAGTCATTATCTTCTCTGAGTCCAAACTTCACCATCCAGGTATTTAATTTACCTCATGGATACCTCATGGAGTGACTCATATCTGTAAGACTCCAGCAGAGTGACTGGTTAGATGCTCAATGAACGCCCTTCCTTTTCCCTTAGCATTTAGACCTCTTTTCCATGTAATTTATAATACTACAAAATAAGTTCCATTTCTTAATAACAAATTTCTCTGTACAGACTTGGGTCAACAGGAATTGCGAGTGATCTGTGTTTGCAGATGAAATTACAGGATTTAAATATTATTACAACTGATCAAATATTTTTGCAAGATAATCTACCAAGTGCAAAGATGTCATTCTTTGCCAAACAGCACTCTGAGGCTTGCTGACTGCAGTACATGCAAATTCACACATTTCTTGAGTCTCTTTGTTTTATAGCAAACATGAGCAGTGACTTCCTTTCATTTATCAATTCTGACTGGAGCGTTTTTCAGTAATACTTAGAAAAATCTCATAAACCAATTTTCTAAAATATAAAAAAAGTCTAAAATTTTCCATGGTAGACATCACTCTATGCATGGAGTTTCAGCTAGTGTGAAGTCTTAACAGAATAGAACCAAAGGAAATGAAAGATGATTTTGTAAACTGAGGATGGTTATAGTAGCTGTCTTCTGATTTATACTCTAAATTTGAATTTGAACTGACAAAGACATGTGCCAAATTGTTACTTCATTAATTCAATCCATCATTTAGGCAATAAATATTAATGAACACCTACTGATTGGAGGCACTGCACCTGGGACTCCAAAGTAAAACTGCATATTCCCCAACATCAAGGAGTTTGCCTAATGAGAAAGATATGTAAACAAATATGTTTTTTTAAGGTAATTGATACAAAAGAAGGAGATCCAAGATGCGGGAGGAGGGGGGAGGATATGAGAAAGATCTAGCTAAGTCAAGATAGGGAACCGGGGTGGCCTTCGGAGGGGAGGCAGGCTGATACAGGAAGGATGAGTGGGAGATTATTAGGTGTATGAGTAGGATGAATATATTTGGCAGTGAGAACAGAAAGAGAAAATCATGGCAGCCTAAGGAAGCCTGGAGTAGTCAGGAAGTAGGGAAGAGTTGGTTGGTGTTGTAAAAGCAGAAATTACTGTGAAAGGCAGGAACAGGAAGGGCTAATGAGAAATGAGGCCCAGTAGGTAGGGAAAGGCCAGATCATATGAGCCTTGCATAGCAGGCAAAGGTATGCCAATGCTTTTTCCCACTCTGTAGGTTGTGGGGAAAGTTGTTGAAGAATTTTGAAGAGAAGTTTCATAATCAAATGGGTTCAGGTTCCTAAAGAAGACAAACAATATTGTGATTGTTTTGCTGTTTACAAGTTACAGAAATGGCATGCATGTCCTTTTGTTCCTAGGGGTTTCAATGGTTCTCATTGTAATGGAGTTCAGGAATGCCAAAAGCAATATTTGCAGTAAATGATACATCAGAATTATAATGAGTCTGTGAGCAGATTTTTGTTAACAGGTTTTTAATAGGCTGTGATGCAATCCTTAATGCAGAACATTTAATTTAATTACAAAAGATAGCCTGGAAATTTGGCTGGGTGTGTTTTTATTGCTCAGTGAATTAAAAGGTTTTTATAGGATTACATTGTTAAGATTCTTGGAGAAAAACACAGATACACCAATGAAAACTTTGTACTCATTTTCTTTCTCTCTTCACAGCAAAGCAGTGAATCTGTCAGAAATAAATTTCACTTGAATTTTGCATAATTTTTATAATTTCAGGGGTTAAGCATCTGAAAGGCCAAAGTGAATCAGCATTCCCTGAAGAAGAAGAAGGTGTAAATGAAAGAGAGGAGCAGTGGGACCACTAATTACCAGTCTGCAGCAAGAAGGCTTCTCGGGAATAACTGAACATTAATTTTTCTGAATGTCTCATGAAATTCCACTGCTTGACTTCCAGAAGCATTCTTCATCTGTTCACTCCACACTCATTACAGTAGTAATACACATCCTGGGAGCCCTCTTGGACTGAACTTTCCAACTAAGTACAAATTGTTCCACATCACTCACATTTAAAAAATAAGCATTTATTTTACAGTGATTTTTTCCTTTTTAAATACATAGAAATTTGCAAACGTGACTGTTCTAACTTTAATACTGCCAGAGCTTAATCCCTGCTGTCCTACTGATATGGTTTGCATTCTAAGGTCAAATGTAGATAACATCACTTTAAGAATTAAAAAAATAAATATTAAATACATTTAGACATGAATGTGTGTATGTGGGTTTAACTGAAAGAGGAATGTCTAATGCAAATTTTTAGTTAAGATTTGGTTTATCGTGTTTCTGTGCACAAAACAGAACAGGGTATTTATTTCAAAATGAAGAAGAAATGCTGGTCATTAAAAACACCACCATGTTAGATATTAAACCTCTTTTCCCCTCCCACAGCATATTGATGGTTACTTGAAGAAACACAGAATTCTTTGTATTTTCTAAGCTGCAACATATATATCTCCCAGAATTTCCTCCAGTCATGAGGAAAGAAAAATGCTACATCTAAAAAAAAAAGTACCAAATCCCCCCTCTCCTTTTCTTGTCTGTTACTTAAAATTGGGCTATTTCCTACTGCATTTTAATAAATGATTAGCATTTTATAAATGCTTCTATATCATAAAATAAGAAGTTCCATTATTTCATGCATACGGTCACTCAATTCATTAACTCAACAACTGTTTTTTATGAGTTTACCCTAGGAATGTATTCTGCTGGGAGTTATGAAAATAAGGAAAAATAATTCCTCCCCTATTGAACTGGCAGAGAAGATAAAGCATTAGTATAAAGCAAGATTTTACAAGACAATATGTATTTATTGATAATGAAATTTTGATAATTCAAAGTTCTGCCCTTTTGAAAATTTTTAATTATTCATGATAATTGAATGCAAAGTATCTGAACCACAAAATTTAGTGGGGATGAGGGAATGTCCAATTTGTTTTCTACATTCATGCTATTAGTGGATTCAAATGTTTGATGGATGAAAAAAAAATGAAAAGATTTCTCAAAAGTCTGAGACAGGAAGAAAAAAATCAAATGTGAAATTTACTGTGGGATCTTAATATCAAGATTCAAAGATATAAAACGATTGCTTTTAATTTTGAACATGAGTTTTATAATATAGAGATTGAGAGAGTTGTGTGAAGCCATAAGAAAATGCAATAGAGGTAACACTCATTTTCCCCAGTATATTTTCCCCAGGAAAATAATGCAAACTTATTGATAAGTAGTACCACGTGTATGAATGAGTATTCTAGCCCTTTCTTCCTTCCTTCTTTTCTTCCTAACTCTCCCTCCCCCCTCCCTCCTTTTCTCCTTCCTTTTCTCTCTCTTTCTGTCTTTTTCTACCCCTTCCCCTCTTTTTTCTTGAATAAGCCAATTTCTCACTACAATTTCTGGAGTTTCTAGACCACCTGCTATGACCGTTTTTTTTCCCTGAGTTTATCTCTACTTAAAACTTGAATAAGGTATATATTTAAGTGATTTAAAATTATTTGTGTTTGTAAAACATCCCAACAATGCTTGAAAGTATTTGAGATATCCTGAGGTGCTAAAAAATTTAATTGCCCTTCCCTTTCCTTGAACAGACACTTTCATAAATGTTTTTTGGAAAGTATCCAAGCAAAGAAAAAGAAACCCAAGCTTTTGCTGATTATGTAACATCATTTGGAAGAACAAACAGCATGGCTTCTGGATTCTTCTGTTTTGTTTTCCATTCTTAAAAACACAAAAAGATCAAAATTAAAAGCACAAGTTTTCTTTGGGAAATGTTAGTTTCTTCTATTCTGTTTTCCACTCTCAAAACACAAAGAGAGCAAAATTAAAAGCACAAGTTTTCTTTGGGAAATGTTAGTTTCTTCTATTCTGTTTTCCACTCTCAAAACACAAAGAGATCGCAATTAAAAGCTTAAGTTTTCCTTTGGAGATGTGTTGACTTTCTCAGAAATTTGAAGAAAACCAGCTGAGATAATGGCTTTTCATTTCCTTTTCACACAATTATAATTTACAACAAAATTTTTTTCAAGAAGACAACTTGGCTTCAGTTTGGCTGAATGGGCAAAGAAACTTTCTGGCCAAAACAAAACAATACAAAAACTTTATATTTCTGAAACCACATTATAATATAATGGTCAGTGGGTGGGCTTTGAGTCACTCTTAGATTCAAATTTAACCTCTACCATATTTTAGACTCAGTTTCTCCATTTGTAAATGGGTGCAATCATACCTAATCTACTAGGTTGTTATGAGACTTAAGTGAGATTAACCCAACTTGAACATGAGCATTTTTTTTTTTTTAAAGATGACTGGTAAGGGGATCCTAACCCTTGGCTTGGTGTTGTCAGCACCATGCTCAGCCAGTGAGCGAACCAGCCATTCCTATATAGGATCCCAACCCGTTGCCTTGCTGTTATCAGCACTGCACTCTCCCGAGTGAGCCACGGGCCAACCCTTGAACATGAGTTTTTGATCAATGGTGTCTATTATTATTATTAGAGTTAGAAAGGACTTCAGAGGCTATCTATCCAAACCTTATCTAATGCATGAGGCTCTTCAACATCCCAAACAAGTGACTGATCACCTCACTTATTCTTGAATAGCTCCAGCTGTACCCCAAGCCAACGAAAGTGATCTAATTGTTCTCCTGTATGTTAAACTCTTCCCTTCTCCTGCACATTTATCTCTTCCTCTTTTTCACCTCTGAGACTCCAGAATAACTTTAACTCCTTTCTTATATCTCAGCCATTCATATATTGAAAAACACTCTGATGTCATCTCCTAAGTGGTCTCATTTCTTTGATGAAATATCATTAATTCCTCCCAAACTTTTCTCATCATCCTGACCACTCACTGAATATAAAAAAGGTTATATCAGGAGAATAAATTAGAGATTATATTTTTACTCCTGTATTCATGAGAAAGAGGCAAACAGTATGGCTGGGCAGGGCAGGATTCTAGGCCCGATTACTTTCTTTTGGACACGAATTTTGTAACTCCTTTTTTCTTCCCAGAGTTGTCCAGGAGTCTTCATAAAAATCAAAATTCTCAGACTAATTTCTGTTCTTAAAAAAATCTTCACCATCTACTTTTAATTTTAAATTAATATATGCCAGTAGTTTCTAAATTGTGGAAAACAAGATGATTTTAGGTTGGCCAGGGACAAATTATTTTTATTTTTATAGTTATAAATGCTAGTATAACATGTATAAAAAATACATTACCAGCACCCCCAAATCCATGCTTTCATAGCTATTATTTATTGCATAGGATAAGGCAAGTTTAAAGTGTGAGTATATTTTAAGTCCACTTAAAGAAAAATGTCAAATAACTGTGGTAGCAATGGTACCTCAAATCACGAAAGTAATATACAATTGAATGAAGTTTGAAAGCACTGGTTTCAGACACTGTCATAGCAAACAACTTAAGTGTAAGTATTACAGAGTTCATTTAATTGGATATGGATTTATGAATACATAAATAAACCATATGTATTAAATTATTGAAAAAAAGCCTTTACATGGTTTTTCATTCACACAAAGCAAATAGTTTAAGTGCAAAACGAATAATAGAAAAAGCATGTCTACTTACATTAAAGTGTTTATGCTCAGACATAATTTTTAGTATTTTCTTTCTGAGTAACGGGGATGTGGGAAGAAACACTTTTACTTATTTTCTAAGTCACTAATTCCAAAAACCAGTCCTCAAAGCCCCAGCAAGTATATTAATTAATAAAAATGTCTATGTTGCTGAAATGTGAAATCTGTTAAAGAAATTAAATTATTAGATGTCCTAATGTCATAACATTCTGAAGAACAATGTCAGAGAAGAGCTTTAGGATAACACCAGTGGGGCATCTTTGGTTTTAAATGACATTGTTAAGTAATTAAGGTGCTAACCTTTGCAAACATCTCACATAATTCACCCAGCAATGGAGGTAAAGGTTTCCACCTTTCAATGTCATGTGAATTAAATGAAATAATTTACATGAATGCTTGGGTGCCTGACTGCATTTTGTAAAGAGGCTGCTATTCAACCGTAGATCTTTCCTCGACATTCATTTTGTGGGCAAAGACATTGGTGCAGCCAGTCTCCCCACTGTATTTAATAATCTATTTTATGCAGATAATGAAGACTTGGTCTATAGAGGGAAGATGAATGTGAGAGTCGATTAGAAAGATGAGTAGGCAAAGGAGGGAACTTGAAGCTTGAAGACAAAGAAAAAATTCTGAATGAAGTAAATTAAAATGATATTGCATTCATCTTCATTTTTTATTTTTTACTGTACAAATATGACTTAGCAGTCTTTTCTCTTTTCTCTAAATTTCAGTAGCAGTGAGGCTAATTTGAGGAGATGAATGTAGTGAATCACAGGAGTATATGATGCTACCATATTCGAATCCTAAAAGTAACAGAACATTAGAGTATATTCAACAAATGATTCTTCAGAACAGGTGTTAACTTGCAAAGGCAGACAGTCACTCGCAAGCCACCTGAAGTTCATTGAAATAAACTCACAAGGTTTGTAGAGCACATAACCTTGGCTTTGTTTTCAGAAGGTGAAACAAACACTAGAGGTGCTAGCGTTCTTTCAGCTGGAGAACACCGCGCAGTTCTGGTCTATGTCCTTCATTTTAAAGGTGGGAAAACCGAGGCCTACAGAATTTTTCCTCAGATATATACACTGAGGAAGCTCAAACCTATGTCAGGTAAGAAAGCATTTGGCAGCAAATAATAGAAAAGTCAGCAAACAGTAACATAGTGGTTGGTTTATGTCATGCCATAACATGTCCAGGACTGGAACAGTGGATCAAGACACCAGTGATGAAGAGGAACTTTTTATTTTCCTGAACATTCTCAGAGTTGTAACCTCAGGGTCTCAAGAGAACTGCTGCATCAGGCATCTGGCCTGTTCTAAGGAGAAAGAACAGTAAGAAGAGACAGGGAAAGAATCTACAGCAAAGAAGCAAAGTTTCTTCTAGAAACTCTCAACTAATGTCTCAAGGGCGAGAAGTATGTCCCAGGGCCATGCAAGGGAGTTTGAGAAAGTAAATATTTTTAACCTGGTACCTTGCCACATCCAAATTTAATTAGGGTTCTTGTGAAAGTGTGCAGGGATAGTGGTTGAATAGCCAAGAGTATCTGCCTCCCAAATGAACGGAATTTAGGAATTCTTTGGGGCATTTAAAGGAAGCACTGGCTACTTACACATGTCAAGGA